ACTGTAGATTCTGTATATATGTGCCTGAGGAGTTTGTCTACAGAAGCCGATATGAAAATGCCATATCTGCTTGATGAATATGTTTGACTATAAGTAAGTGAAGTGTTTAACGTCTAACCATCTAACCCTACTGCATTTTTTCTGTCCTTCTTGCCAGGATTTAAGGACTCATGGGATACAAGACATACATTTGAAAATCTTCCGAGTCCAATTACAGCCCTTCGTGTCATGACATTTCAAACATGTTGTTGTTCATCAGGCCTGTTAAAAACATGGTAACCTCCTTAAGCAGACTCAGATGTTCTTTCACATGATTGAACAACAACATGTGATCTAATGAGTACACTTAAAACTCAGAAAAACACACAGCCCTAGTATACATGAATTTAGAGAATAACATACCATGATACTGATTACATTGGTCAAACCAACAGAGGGTGACCTTCAAAATGTTTAGAGAAAGGGTTATTGTGATCGAAACGTCAAATATTTTTCCAGAATTGACTAAATGGTGCGGGAATTTTTTTATAAGTTATTCATTGGATTACATTGGATTACATTGGATTACACTTCTGATGTATTCAATGGAGGGGAATCATTTAAGTGCAAGGAAAAATGAAAAATGTAACACTTACAATTAAATGACGACTGGGCAAACTCTATTTGCTGTCAATGAGATACGATTAAAAACTCCAGTACCGCCAATAAATGGAAACTGACATTTCTTTGTCAAATGGTAATACACACAAATGGCTAATTATTATTCAAGTATTCAACATCCTGAATTAATGAGTTACACAGCATCTCTACTGCAGGTTGATACATCCCCTCCTCTGTTGAATTGGAAATGACTGTCCTTGACATTTTAACCTTACTTGTCAATCACACAGAAGTGCAACGTCAGATCTATTGTCTGCATTCTGCTGAGGTGTGCATTGAGATGGCCTCCTACTCTGGCTCACCCCCTCTCTCTGCTCTCAGAAAATGTGTGACATGCTGACCATGACTTACTGTACTATGCACTGACCATAACGAATTAGCCCTGATTTGTTTACCCTAGCGTTATACTGTATGTTCAATGAAATCCATTTAAACCACAATATACCATCATCTTCTCATGTTTATCACGTGGGGATCAAACCAGTGTAACTAACATAAATCTGATATGACATTGAAGTGTCTGACCTTGCCGCAGACTACAGCCAGGCCTTGGGTTTTATTCTCGTCAGTTAGTGAAAGCATGCTTCAGGGAGACACAACATGCAAGTGTGGACACATCTGTGTAACATGATGGCACCCAGCAGGGTCTTTCCTCTCACCCAGCTGTCACAATAGTCAGTAAGATGAAAGATGCAACACAAAGGCAGGCAATGCTGGTGGGATGATAGGACTGTGGAAATAGGAAGCTGTGCTGTGATTAAACACAGGTGATCAAAGTCTGTCAAACAGTCCGGCATGGAGGATGTTTAAAAAACAACTTTGGTATAATTCAAACCTTGAGGATATATGTTTGTGCAGAGAACGTCAATCAAATAACTGTTTATTAAACCCTTTCCCTAAACTCTACAACTAGTGGCCGATCAATTTCAGACAGAACCAGTTGGTGGTCTTTGTGTTTTTCATTTTATTTCCTGATGTCAGTATTAAGTGTATGGTAAGAATGTGGCATGGAGAAATTAGATTTGTCTGTCAACTGTCAACATGTTGTTTTCCCGCTTCAAAGCCCTTTCAATTTCAAATTCAGGCCTACAATTCCCTGTTAGCAAGCTTGTCGAATAGCAGTGATACATAATAAAAATGGTCCCCCCTTATTTGACACACAAGGCCCATTCGCACACACAAGAGGGTCAGTGGCATTCTCAAATGGACACATTTTAAAATGTTCATTTTATAATGTATTTACTGCACGACAAAACTCAATCCGGACAACAAAAGAATATAAAATGGTTTCTTAAACAGTTAGTCTGGGGTTGAGACTATAGGGTGAATGGTAAAGAAAGAAAATATTAAAAAAGAAAACAAATTATATATTTTAACTGTAATAAAAAATAAAGTAATATAATAATAACAATTATAATGTACACTGATGCTTATACTAATGGGAGAAGCCTGTCATGGTCCCTCCTCCCTTTCTCCTTCCCTGTGACACCAGCCTGTGTTTGAGTGTTGTTTTATTATTTCCAGCCTTTTGTTTGAGCGAGGTGTGCTTGGTGTGTTTTGGTTTTGTCTGATTGTTTCTCTACCCTCTGCTCTCTCTGTCTCTCCCGCTGCACCCTTGCCCATCCTTTACAATTCATCTTCTCTCCCTGCACTAAGCACCAACAGCCAGTCTTCTTCTGATCCCCCCCATATTCTGTCAAGGTTTCATGCTTCCATCTCCTAAAATAAGATTGCTCACAATCCTGTCTACAAGAATTGTAGCCATAGAAATAGCCAGGAAAACTGGCTAGGTTAACCTGTTTGTCCATCTGCCAGCTGCCCCATCACCTCTGTAAATAAAGATGTGTTCTGTCATATGATTTATGCCTCAGTTACATGACAGTACGAGCCGGCCAGAATGAACCTAGCTAACTTTGATTCAGCCTACCAGGGAGCAGCTGCTCTTAGGTCAACGTTGAATACAACTGATTTTGGATTTTGATCAAATCAGCCTATCAATTTTTATTTAGATTGCCCAAAATCATTCATTACAAATTTGTGTCAGGGGGCTTTACAGACTGTACGGCGTATGATAAAAAAATCTGTTTACGGAAAGTGTCACCACTACTGATAACATGTGAAGCCAAACAAACGTTTCCATTCAGATCTTTATCAAAGGTTTTTTTTTGTTATTGATTCTGACCGGGCTGGCCAGACAGACATAGTAGTCAGTAGTCGATAGCTCTTACTTTTATTGACATTTTCTAGGGCATGTTCCACATCAGCATGACTAAGGGTACAAAGGGACGGGGGATGACAAGGACACATTTAGATCTGTATGGGCAAGCCAACTTTTACATCAGGGACGCACATAGACCAGCTGGACATACTAATAACACCAACCCTCAAGCAGAAGAGCTCTGTTGATTAAAATCTGTCTCAACTTCCTGTTAAAGGTTTACAGAGGAGGTGGGAAGTCAAGTGTCGCTCAATTCAATTCAATTCAATTCATTACATTTATTATAGCGCTTTTCCAGAGCTCAAAGCGCTTTACAGATACACATTACACACATATCAGACATGTAACAGTCATGTACTGTGGACAATACCCACAGGAGCAAATTCAGGTGAAGTGTCTTGCCCAAGGACACAACGGCCTGACGCAGTGGCGGCGGGGGCGGGATTCGAACTGGTGTTCCCCAACGCCCCCTTGATCTGATGATCAACGCACAGCCCACTGCGACACTCCGCCCATCTTCACACCTCGAAGTTATCAAAGCGCTTTACAAGTACACATTACACACATATCAGACATGTAACGGTCATGTACTGTGGACAATACCCAGAGGACCAAATTCGGGTGAAGTGTCTTGGCTCACATTTCCCACAGGGTGATAATTAAGGTCTTGAGAAGACTGAGGTGTTAGCAGCTATGGGCGATGATCACCATGTGATTGCAGTCATATTTCTTTTTCAGTATAGAAGTAAAACCAGCATGATAAATATTGTATATATGCAATAATATATTGTTATATATATGTTTTTCCTTAATGACCATGTTCTGTTTGCTGTTAAAGATTATTGATTACCTAAAATAATTACACACAGTTTGGTATTGGGTCAGCTCTACTCCAATGCGGAAATACAGCTTCCCCTATGAGACAGTGCAGTACTTTGGACTATATGCAGCCTAATCTTGCCAGGCATTTCCCCCAAGTACTTACAAAATCCAAGAACTTGAGCTACTGTTTCCGAATGTGCTACTCATAAGGCCAATAGTGACAAATAATAAGCACACCCATTAAAATGCTGTAGATTTACAACAGCCAAGTATTTACATCTAATATTTTAGAATGCTGAAATCTTTTATATTTTGCATGCAAACATGTTCATCTTATCAAATATGATGCATTGTGAGAGAAGGACTTTTTTTTAAATTGCAGATTTAACCGTAAAATGTCAATAAGACTTGTGGGCTGATTTTGATTCATTTTGGGGCGATTTGGAAGATTTAGGGGACTCCTAGTACTAGGATGGGTTAAATGCAGAGGCCACATTTCACTGTGTGACCAGGGTTTCATCCCTCCGATTCTATTTTATTTGGATTGGACAGATTGCCTATTTATTTGAAGAAAAAGTTTCCACAGTAAAGATAATACTATTCATCTTGTGCTCTCTATATCTGATGGTCGCTACACTGCTCATGGTAGTAAGAATCAGCCCACCGAGAGTACAAATATGGCCACTTTCTGCTTAAAACTGCCATTTTTTTTTATCCTGATGGATGGATTCAGCATCCTTAATAAGCCCCCAAACCACTCGAACATTTTTGAATCGGTCAAGTCCTTTTAAAACTATGTTTACATTGGCTATAATGCCATTCATTTCAATGAACACAATGTAGGCTAATTGTAAACATGTGTGGGTTTCCTATGATGGCAACTAGACTATATCCCTATGGTTCTAATGTAAACAGCAAATACCTGGCTCAAGACTTCTTCTTCTGAGAAGGAAGTTGGAGTTTTCCATTTAGAAATTATTCATCTGAAAACTGGTGCAGATTAGTTGAAAATATGTAAATATTGGATACATAAAAGAATCTTACACACTACATTTTGACAGCATGAATTATGGGATTGTGTAATTCTAATACTGTTAGGTTTAAGGTGTTGACAGTTAAAAATTGAGTCACTAAGAGGAATTTTCACAAACAGCTGACAGTTTGGCATCCCAAAGAAGACTAAGTCTGATAATCATAACTGATTTCAAGAAAGAAAACACTTGATTCTTAGTCATAAAAATACTTTATTGAACTAGTAAAACGTCCACTTCCAAAATAGAATGACAACAGCACATACTCATGGGATGGCCCTAACATTGATTTGGCATAAGGCGCATTTATTTTTTATGTTAATTACAATCTTTATTTCACATCATTTTCATCAAACTTCTTTATAGTTTCAGAAATGCATACCGGGGTATAGGACCAGACGTCTTCAGGACCTGTCATGGTCTTTTGTTAATTATTCTCCAATACAGGGCCTGACACCAGGCTGACACTATAATCTGATCTGTTGGCAGGTTCTTTTCTTCCTTGTCTTCCTTGGCAGGGTAATTTATTCCTTGGCTTTGTGCATTGGCCACTATGGCTTCGCCCACAAGGGCAACTGTGCGTTTTAAGCATTAGCACTTGACACATTGGGGTTTAAAAAAAACACATGAAAAGAATTCACACATTACATTTAATTTTGTAAAACAGAAACAATCCTCTGTATTGCTATACTATCTGGGCATCAACAACACAGATGGGCTTTTGGTTACAAAAACACAATTTAGGACTAAGTTAAGACTTATTTTGCATAAGCTGTTAGGCTTAATGAAAAATACATAATCCACAATAATAATAACAGCACAACACGGGATGGCAAACACAAGACAGATTTGTAGATTAGGCTGTAAAACCTGAACAATTGCTATGATGTTCTGTAACTAGCACTTAGCAACAGACTGTCCTCGTGTCCTTTGTTGCTTTACACTATGTTCAAATCAATAAGCAGGTCAGTGCCTATAGGCATCATGTCTGGATGAGACCGTGCGTGCCACGTTGTGTGTTTGTGTGTGCCAGGGGGGGATTTTCTGATTCAATCGGTTGTGATGGAGGCGGCTGCAGCTTTTCATTAAGCTGCAGGGATGCAGAGGCTGGCAGTCGGTCAGAGATTACTGACAGACTGGCAGCAGGAGTGTATGTGTCTGCGTCTTTGATCTGCACCTTACCCTCCTCACAGATGGTGATGTAGATGTATCCCTCCCCCCTATCATGTGCTGTCTACTCCATGCTGGCTCGAAAGCACTATTTAGATTATTAAACTCAAATTCATATTTATCCTTGCTTTGTTTGTTTTTAAATTATGACCGGGAATCTGTGCTGGCTCATTACATACATTAAAAAACAGAGATCCAAATTTGGCAAGTGCTTCATCTCACAGCTAGAGCGCCCAACGTGAAAAAGCAATGGGCCACAGGAATTTCATTTCTTTTAAAAAATTGGACGCAGAGAGACATGTGTGCTTTGTGGCGCACTGCAAAAGAGGCAACTCTGACTAAAGGGAGGGGGAAGGGAGAGAGCAACAGGGCAGAAAGGGTAAAAAGGGGGGGGAAGGGGTATTACTGGAAGGAAGCGCGGACAGGGCGACCCTTGAGCGGCTGGGGAGGGCGGTAGTTGTCCACCATGCAGCACTCGGGCTCACCCTCAGCAGAGAAGAGCAGGCTGCGGAATTTGGCCATCTGTGAAAAAGGGGAAGACTTACGTTAGTCATTGCTGATGACCGCCTGTGTCACTAGGCAAACTAGTCTCACTGCCGAGTCACCGACTTCTATTCAGAGTCATGTCCTAGCAGCTGTACTGTTGAAGCATTATGGGAAATAGTCGCTTTCTTACTGTAAGGTACAGTATATGAGAAGATTGATACAATTTATGTCTGTACAGTAGTATAAAGCTACAGCTAGCAGTCTGTTAGCTTACCATAAAGAGTTAGACACATTTTGTCAAACTGTTTCTTTAAGTCAGACTGGAAACAAGAGTCAACCGTTACAGCACAGTGTCAAATTATTTATCATGAACTCTTCAGCCACATGAATATAATGTACACATTGGATAACTATTCTCTACTGGGACAAAATAGTTAAGCTAATTGTGTATTACCTGAAACCATTTACTAATTTTATATGTGTTACTTTATATCATCAACTTATGTTGTCATTATCAGCTTGACTGACTTAAATAGCACCAAGTCTAAAGGTTATGTCAACACGTCTCACATTTTTACCCTTGAGACACCTACTCGCCTCCATGAAATAAACATTTGAGCAAGCAGTGTTTGTTCAGAGGCCTAAAGACTCCAATCTTTAGGCCAAACGGACAAACCTTCCTGGAGGGGCTGTTAGTTTGGATGAATGATTGGTTGCAAGGAAAATCTCTCGTTTGCAACTTGTTATACATTTGAAAGGTGAAATAGCTGCCTGTATTGCCTTTCCTCCCTTAACAGAGGTTCTTCTTTTCGTTTAAGCCACGTAGCTAATCTGAACAATTAGGTCCTTGATTTCAATCTTAATGGAAGAGAGGATTTGCTATTCTAGACCGTGGGCACACAGCCAATGCTTGTGCTACCGCTGAATGGCCTCTGTGAGCTAGCCATACCTGCTCACAGCTGACACTGATTGGCTCTTTGCAGACAATCCAGGTAACGCTCTCCAGCAGGGGTGGTGTGGTCAGGGAGCCGTCATATGTCCAGTAGTCAAGGCAACCAGGCAGCAAGGTAGAAGGGTCGAAGCCAGCGAAAGAGGTCTGCTTGCCCTGAAATCAATAAAGAAAAAAAACAGGTTAGTGGAAAACCTCATTATAAATCATGAAATGCTAATGCATAATCTTTATGGAAACATACTTTGGCCCTGATGTCATTGAAGGCGTCGAGAACCTTCTGGAGACTGGCATTTGCATCACCGATCTGAAAAAACAACAATATCATGTTATTATAGTGATCATTAGTGACCAGTAGTAGTACAGGAAAAGTTGCTGACTACAGTAATACTGACATGCTTAAGCGTTATTACTGACCTTCAGGAATACTCCAACAACAGCGAGCCCATCAGGCTTGCTTGCAGCCTCACCAAAGCTTGGGTATTTGGTATTCCAGTGCACCAAATGGAGCTAAAAATAAAATAAATAGATCAAAATAATGTAATTTCCTCACAGATTGAATTCCAATACAAACATCCCTGGGATTAAATAGCTTTAATGGTTGAGTTAAGGCAAAAACGACGGATAACAAGCAAAAAGAAAATGCTAACTAAGTTGTTTACTGGCAAACATAAAGGGACAGAAAATGGTTTAGTCTATTTAGGCCTATCTTTAATCTTGAATGTCAACCCCAATTTGTCAGATACTACAGCTTTCTGAGTATAATGGTCACCATAATGGCTCAGAGCAACCGTACCTCAGCAGGATACTTGGTCCCAGCCACGGTATGTTCAGAGCCTTTGTCATCAGACGCTCCCCAGTGGAAATGAAACTGCTTGAGCCTGTACACCCCTGAGATGGGTCCTTCTTTCAGAGCTGCAGAATAAACAAACATCACCCTCAGTTAATCCCATACTTAACGTGGATAGGGCTGTAATTAGCCAAAATGAGACGGTCTTATAAAACAATACAGTGATACATCCAAGTTGTAAACGTTGAAGGAAAAAAAAACAACAGCAGGTTAACAAGATCAATTACTTTTGGGCACACACACACACACACACACACACACACACACACACACACACACACACACACACACACACACACACACACACACACACACACACACACACACACACACACACACACACACACACACACACACACACACACACACACACTTCCTCTATCTTGGAGGCAGACTGACTTCCTGTTGCATAAGATCACATTGAAGGGTTACATTCTGTCCTAAATGATGTCCAGGTATTGTTAACATCAAACATCCTTCCAATGTTATACATAATCCATCTTTTTACAATGTAGCGACACTGTAGCAGATACAGAGAAAACGTGTGCTATTTCTGGTGCATTGTTACCAAATACTGAGTCACTAACAGAAAACTGGCCTCTCTAAACAGGATATTTGTGTCTCAGTTGTCAGCCTCAAATGATAAGAAAACACATTACTGATCTCAAGAAGTAATGGTGTGCAGGACTGAAAGGTATTTCCACAAAAATAAAAATAAAGACTGATATTCATGTTTTCCACTGTGCACACACATGATCTATCTATGACATGATGTATGATGATGTGCTTTATTTAGAAGGGCATGATGGAAAATAAGTGCAGTAAAATTTAAGAAAGAATAAAGAAGCTCTAACATAGCTCATGATTTTAGCAGTACTGTATGCTTTTTTGTTTTTGATAAGTGTCCACACGAAATAATCCGTTGTGTTGGTTATGCAAACATGCTCTTCTTTGTTCTCTATCTCAGGTCACCCAAAGAACAACCAATCCAAATCCTAAATCCTTTTATTTGTCTCTTTCTGAAATAAAATGTTATATAAATGGAAATGCAATGAAATAAAAATAGAGGAACATGCAATCTCCATTTTACATTATAGTTTCGGGAAAAAATCAAGCGTCATTTATGTGGTTACTCAATCCCATGCACATTTGGTGCACTAAAATTGAACCAAAACGGCGTTTGTTTGGAGAGTAACTTCGATTTTTGCGCTTTTGACCTCACTAGCAGCTGAAATAATTTGGCGTGCATGGGAAAGGTTTACTGCGGTGTTACATTACCAATTAAATTAGTATGCATTCTTTGTGCTCGGCTGAATGGAACACCCTTCAATTAATTCAATCCAATTAAAACGGTTAAAAAAACACAATCTAATAAAACTAAATACAAATCTATGTCCGTTTGTTTCATCCCTATATTACAAAAAAAACCTGTAGGCGCTAATGGAAACTGGGGCGCATTACTCATGCATCAAAAATACATGTTAACATTCTATTAACATGCAGTTACATTGTGCACACTGTGAGAGCTTCTGTTAACGGACAGGATGCATAAAGCCTGAATGCCGCATTTGCAGGTTGCTGCATCCCGTATGGCGTATATCATCATGAGGACATTTTGATTGATTGCCTTTGTTTGCAAACCAATATTAGTATAGCTCCTCTATTTCATTTTCAAACATTGCAATATGTTAGTCGAAATATAGGGACATTTTGTCTTTCTCCAGGGCAGGCTAAGAGGATATATTGTAATGCCATTTTTAAATGAGATTCTTGAGCGGTGATATCACGGCTCCAACGAGCGTCTGTATTCATCAAATATTAATGTCACACTAACTTGAGCTATCGCTGTCATCTGCGAAGGTCACTTGGAAGGAATGTCCGTTGTTGAGGATTTCAAGGCAGTTGGAGGGGTCGTACTTCAGGCGGAGGGGCTTCAGCCCGGAGTCGTATGATGCTCCACCAGGTAGGATGTCAATGGGAGACTGACGGGGTCCATCGGCAATAGGGAAGTTTGAAACCCATTTGTCGGGTCCTGAAAATAAAATAATAACAAAAGTGTGATTATAGAGATATTTCAATGGGATTTTAATGAAATAAAATGCGCGTCTGGGGATGCGCAATGATGAAAAGAACGTAAACACTGTGCAGATTAAAAAATATCTGCAGTGATCACATTCTCCAATTAATTCACAGACTTGCAGGTTTTATCATTTCTCTCAATAATGTCACCCCATCATTATAGCTTGCAATTAGTGCCTCACCGTTGTTCGCAGCGTATCCCCATGCATGAGCCATTGTTAGAGTTTGGATGAGCTGTGTTATTCCCTAAAGCAAGTTGTCCCTGAGCACAGAGCAGCCAGTGTCCTCCACCTGACAGCTGCACGGCTTATATAGGGTCCCCTGTGAGCGGTGAGTGTCGGGCTGGTGTTAGCCACATGATGCCCGCGCAATGACCGGGAGGAGTTTAGATGCGCCGCAACGCCGCAACACTGTGGATCAATGTCTCTCTCTCTTTCTCTCTCTCTCTCTCTTTCTCTCTCTGTCTCAGAGTGGTGGTAAAGTCTTCATTTACAAGCGACAGTCTAATGGGTTGGATAGTATTCCTCGAGCAACGTGCTGACCGCATTCTAACCTCTCATCTAACGGGGTTTAATTTACAGGAAGTAATGGAATTACGCAGCAGCATGCAACCTACAGTATGTGTCACCTTGAAACAGAAAGTGCATGCTATGGAAAACCTGCAATGCAAAAACTGACAAGTGAAAGACCAAGGGCTTCAAATAGTGATATACACAGTTACTACAAAGTTAAACACGCACCATCGTTACTTGTTGGAGTGCCAAGGGAATACGAAATCAATATAAAACTATTAATAGCACTTTTATTATATGTTTTTACAACAACTTTAATAGTGACTTATAAAATGTAACATTGGCTTCAACACATTTGTATCCGAAAAAAAGGTTTTGCGTAAGGGTATGTAGTAATTCGGTTGGATCTCCAAACTAATAAAAACAATGACTTGAATTATTATTCTCTATTGGCAATTCATACACACGTTTAATGAAAAACACAAAACTAATTTGAAAAATAACCTTCAGTTAGAACACGAGAGATATCTGTCTGCTTCTTGCAAGACAAGATAAGAGAAATAGGCGCCTCCTGTCGATGATTTGTTTATCAGTGACGGTGTTGCATCAGTTAGAATACACAAGTAGGCCAACTCAGTGTTTAGTGATAAAGAATTGACTGACACATTATAAACACAAATTAGTTACATATAGTCTATACTGAAATCACGACACAATTTGCATGAAAAGTTTATGAAAATAAATACTTAAGAAATAATCTATTGTCACCCTTTTAGACATTTAGGCCTCAAACTTCAGGTCTTTCCCCAGAATCTCCAGTTACAGCATCCTGGTGGCCAGTGCAGCTCACTGATGATAGCTCAGTTTTTCAGAAAATCATACAGGCTGTTGTGAAAAGCTCATATGGTATTACGGTGCCACCTGCTGTTGGTAAATGAGAATGCAATGTTGTTTTGTTGAGTTATTTTCTTTTTCATTTAAATCATAATTAAATCTTTATTCAATTAAGTCAATATTGCAAAATAAATAGTATTTAATAGTGTTAAAAATGTCACGTTGTTGTAATTTCTCTAGAGATGACTTTTAAACTGTTAGATCAAGTTCATCGTATTCTGTTTTATCCAATGAATTATTCCGGTAATAATTTAAGGTTTGGCAACTATCAATACAAAATAAATAAAATGTTAAGCTTGTATTTTTAATAAAATAGAAAACAGCTGGAAAAATGAAAACAGACCAATATTTTGTAAATGGCTAAAATAACTATGCATGTCGTTTTTTTTAGAAATAAATACATTTATTATTTTCTATGAGAAGGATGGAAGCCTTGCAAACCTATAGCGGGGAAATTGGACATTGGTGATTACTTGCTGTGGGAGAAACATAAAGAAATACAAAGAAATACATATTTAAAAAAAAACATGTGTGATTTTTCATTGTTTATGTTGGTATACAAATATAGTGCATGTTCTATTGTTCGTGAAAATCATATGAAGATTTATTTCCAGTAGGCAGTTTCCTGCATAAAGAATGATGTTTTATGTAAATAACTTTCTGCACTCTGTGAAATCTTGTTTTGGGTTTATTCAAATAAAAATGTTTTTCTATTAGCCTCTCCATAAAACAATAACAAACCATTTGCAGACACATACACAGACACATGACATGACAGTGTTTGGTCACATAGGCTGGGTAAGGTTATAAGTGAATCCAGTCTGCACCCTGATTGGCTGTAGTCCAGGATCTGTGCCCTCATACAAGGTCTCCTGACTGTCGTCTCCATCCAAACAGATTCCCTGCTTCTCAATGGTGTAGTTCAGCACCGCAAATGGAGCCACAGGTGACTTGGCTATCAGAATCTGTCTCTGGTGTGAGTCCACATACTGGAGAATTAGACGTGTGTTGACACTGTGGCTCCAGGTGTTACCCAGAGCCGCTGTCACATACCCAGCATCCTCAGATCCATGACCCCCTAAATGAGTTGTGATCTGGTTGGTGAGAACCACCGGTAAGTTGAACTGGTGTGCCAGGTATTTCAGAGTGGAGGCCTTGTGACCCAGCAGGTCGCTGCGATGCATCAGGTTACCTGGCAACGTCGTGTCAAACTCCTTTCTCACCACTGAGGCCACAGAGTCCAGGATGATGAGACCTGCTCCTGATGAGATGATGTCCTCTTCTAGCGTATCTAGTCTGTTGAGGACATCTTGACAGGTGAGATCCCTGCAGAGAAGCACTCGCCCAGCCATGTTTAGGATTCTCTCCCTGCAGTTGAAGTAGTCTGGGAACCGGCTCTGTGCGATCTCCACCAGCCTCACAGCAGAGAAAGCGGATTCTGTGTCGATGTAGATCACACCGCTGTCCAGGCCACCCTCACTCTTTGGCATGGTGGCCAGAACACTCAGCATTAAACATATCTGAGTTTTCCCACAGCCTGAGGGCCCTGTCACCTCAGTGATGGTCCCACAGGGAAGGCCCCCTCTCAGAAGTTTATCCAAAGCAGGCAAGGAAGTGGAGAAACAGGCCTGTTTTTTGCACAGCTCCAGAGCCGTGGTTACTGGCGGTGCAACAGCTTTGCTCACTGACTGCAGCAGCTCAATAGCTTTTTGGTAGCTCAGGCATGCAACGTGCATCACTTCTAAAGGAGTCAGAGACAACAGGTCCTTACAACTTTCTATGTGATGCCGTTTAAGTTGCTCACATACATCGTTTGAAAGGCAGGTTCGCTTCAGCATTCTAGTCGCCATGTTGTCTTCTTTTCACATTTTCACTTGTAGACTTTTTAAAGACGGTAACACATTACAAAACATTAAAACAGTGCCTGTAATCTTCTTCTTCTTCGACTAAAGTGATTGTCAACAGTCGTCGCACGCTGATGACGTAGCAGAGAAGGCACGTTTGTTTTAGTCGCGAGCACGGCACATGAGGATATCAACATTAACCAACATCGACTGAAACACGGTCTGTTTGCAAGTATTTCATTGTTAATGTTATATCGTTTAGCTGTGTACGCACAGTTTTCGAATACTTTTGTTAAAAAAGATGCCGTTTAGTAAAATTACTCAACTTCGATAACAATTGACATAGCATTCCTGATATATTTAACAAGACAGCAAGCTGGTATTGTTAACACCATTGGAACCGTATTCTAGTTGACGTAATGTTTATACAGAAGGACAGATACAGTTTAAAATGGATTTAAATGTTTCTCCAACACGTATGCTACGTATGTGATATTTCAGTGCACAACTATAGACCAAAATGACCGTAGTAGATAAATAGGAGGCAGGGATACACAGTTCAGTATTTGTTGAATTACTGTCGGGTTGTCTAGTAGCATTTACCAGTGAACAGTTGTTAAAGAAGTGAGACATCCTGCATTTAAGGTGCAAAAGTATTAGCATACTGAGTTCCAAAAGTAAATAACTTCCTGTACAGAATTGATCTTTTCAGAGTAATACAATTATGTAACCCGGATTATATTTAGTGATGCATGCATTCATGTGTAAGCTTCACTATTGTTGCAGCTAGTGGAGCTTTAACTAGTTTATATACTGCAGGATGCTTAATCCATAACAACACATCGTCATTTATTAGTTAATTTGTTTTACTAATCTGAATCTTTAAAGTTACCACAATAATATTAACTCTTGTTGTCAAATATATGTGAGTAAAAAGTGCAATATAGCCTTCCAAAATTAAGAAGAATAGAGTAACATCAAATGTTTAAAGTACAAGTACAATTTAAAGTACAAGTAACACTAAATTGTACTTAAGTATAAGATTTTAGAAGAGCACATTTTTAGATGTAAAAATTGCTTTATTAAGTTTATTATCAAATTAACAACTCCTATTCGCATTGCCATAATACACTGCCAGTCAGACAACTGGGAAGAGGGTTTGTTTTGTTTATGGTGCAACCTCTTGGAGAAAGTAGATGATTTGTGCATGAAATTGCAAGGAAGTCTGCTTTAATCAGAATAATTGAATAAGGGTTATTATACATTACTTCAACCTCTTGATCCTTTTCAAGTGTAATGACTCACCGGTCTTTTGAAATGTGTTGATTTCAGTGCCTCTTCGCTCCTCTATCCTCCAACTTGTCTCACCGTTCCTTTAGCGCCTCAAGGCTCTGTTCTAACCGCGTTGCTTTCATGTAATTTCACCTTGATATTACTTTTGTTTTTATTGTTGAATGTAGGCTACACCTAATTCTAAAGCTAATTGTGACAAGATGTTAACAAGTGCAGCTGCTTACGTCAACTCATTATACAAAGCAGAACATCCACCACATTCAACACTCATGTGCTGTTGTATTTTGGTATAATAGAAAGACTGCAGTAGAAAGCTAGGTAGACATGATGAGTGTGTTTTTGTATCCCTCTCACTCAACCTTGTACACTGAAAAAACTGATACGTGGACTTTAATTAAATGTATTATTTCAACAGTTTCACATAACTGTATTAGGTTAGTTAAAAGCAACAACAAAAAATAGGTTCAACTTTATGTTGTTGCATGTGAAATTTGTTGATAATGCATTAAGTTGAATTCAACGCTTCAGTGTATACAGTATATGCCCTGCTTTATTTTGTATAGTATTTTTCATGTAAACATTTGTACTGGTTCTCACTATACACAACATTGTGAGTCCTTAGGCTAATTTGATAAAGTTAATCAAATACAGCAGTTCAACAAAACTGTGGACCGATGATGAAGCTGTGCCACACCTCATATTAATTGACATTGCTTACAAAGGATGTCTCTTTTATTGAAAAAGTTATCTAATTTGGTTAAATGCCAGTCGCCCCAACCCTTCTCTCCTATTGACGTTATACCAACTGGAAAACAGAAAAGGCCTATCGCTTGTTTAGAAATGTAGAAACTACCACTTAAGAGCACACAGACCAGAAAATAATAATAAAAGAAAACAGGATAAAACAGATGCCCTGGTTTATAAATGAAATGTCTGCCTAGAGCCTATCCATGCTGACTGGTGTTCTCTCCTCAGGCAACATGGGGAAGAATAAACCAAAGGGGAAAAAAACAGAAGAACGTCTTTCAAGTGGCAAACAAGCACACGAAGCACAAGAACAAAACAAAGCCTGTCACCACAACGCTAAAACACGTAAGATATATTTTCTTTTCTTTTCTCTCTTGCATATATTTAGTACTCTCTTTTGTACATGGTGTCACCTGCATACTTTGATTTGTGGCTTCACAGATCACTTCATTGAAAAAGGAGAAGGTAGAGAGCCTCAATAAGATCTTCACAGAAGTCCAGAGGGATGTCACGAGCATTTCAAAGTCTGTTGCTCCCGAAAAAAAGAAACTAACACAGGTAGGGGTGGATATTTAAAAAATGTATTTTGATCCTCCAGCATTTTAGTCCTAATGATATAAATAATGCAACTTTTTATTGGTCCTTTAGGTCGTCAAAGAGCCACCGAAGGAGTCTGTAAACATCGATAGTGCCGCTCAACTCTTCTCTCAGCTATAATGGAACATGAAAGATGGACTGTCATAAGCCTCAGGCAAACACATGTCATGTTGTATGAAATGCCAAAATCAGGACTGTAAATGTGTTACAAATTAAAAACAGCTACGGTTTATTGCATGTGTGTATTTTAAACATTCTATATTAAATGCAAAGAAACTGAAAGACTTGTCTTCTGCGTTCAATGTTATTCAAGTAAAAGTACAAAAGTATTGGCATCAAAATATACTTAAAGTACCAAAAGTAAAAGTAATCATTTTGCAGATTTAGAATTTATTCCAGGTGTAACTAAAGTCTGATTAAAGTGTTGTTTATATTTCACATAATTTAATCCAAATCTGCAAAGTAATTAATAGTATTACATAAATGTAGTGGAGTAAAAGTACACAATTTACCTCTTGAATTGTAGTGGAGTAGAATACAAAGTATCAAAACATTGAAATACTCAAGTAAAGTACAAGTATCTAAAAATTGTACTTGAGTAAATGTACTTGGTTACTTTACACCTCTGATTATAACCGACAGTCCAAAACAAAATAGTATTCTGCAAAATATAATTTATAACTAGGAGCAAATGTTTGCTTGAACAATTGCTAAAATGATTATGGGATTAATCAAAGTAATTGCTTTTCTGTTGAATGACAGTAAATTAATTGTCCAATTGTCTAGCGCTACTTGCTTAACTAAACTGTTGATATGGGTGCATTGTTCCTCTTCATCTTGTTTCTGCCTGCTTTCAAAAACTACTTATTAGGGTTTTTAAAACAGAACATTTTCTATAGGATAGCACACCCTCTTTTCATTTTGGTTTCGCAACACATTTGAAGGTTTTCACACTTTATTATCATGCTTTTCATGCCTTGAATTAAGTGTAAATTAATTCACAAAGGAGTTCATTGTGACTCCTGCTTATAATGATGAAAATGTTTGCCTCAAGGATTTCTTCCCTCATGGAAATAATACAAAATTGTATGTTGAAGTTCACAAAAGACTTTCAACAAGCATCTCATACATCTAGCACCATTTAAAAGGTTAATGTTCATTTCCAGAGATGATTGTGAGGTCTAAATCATATTGAATGTAGTCCACTCCGGTATTTACAAGCTCCATTCCAGGCCTTCACACTGTCATTTCTATTAGGTCTGCACCTGAAGATGAAATATAGATTTTTTGGCTCCACTTAGGAGCAGCGGGCCGTTATCAGTATGCTGCTGCTGCTGCTGCACCTTGTTGTAGAAACTTGACATCAGAGGTCGGGTGTGTACCAGTGCCCAGCTGATTGCTTGTCTCCACACCAACCTCTGGCTGAGTTAGTTGGACAATAAATCTGGAGCAAGGTGAAAGCAGGGGTGAGGCTGCTAAATAAAAAAAAACTGACATAAATAAGCTAAGAAGGAGATTTTCAAGGTGGCAATGACTTGAATGGGGAACTATTATATTCTCTAGTGGATGTAGTTTTACTGAAAGAAGCTTAAACTTGCATTTTTTCGTTTTGACCACATGGGGGAAACATAAACAAGCTTTAAACAGTAACATTATTGTCACGTTTTAAAGTCAATATGATAATCTTGTTAGCAAACAGTTGCCTACAGTATAAGCAGTCAGGGAGCAACTCTATCTCATTTTGAGTTGGGTTTGTGTCCACCTGAGTAATATATGTCCAATATTTACTTATTTTTGCTCTGTTTTTGGTCTCTACAGCCTATTGGGGAATATATCTATCTTTTTACGCGGTAAAAGCTCCAATATGTTTACCAAATCTAGTCGCTAACTTGTGTACGGCTACCATCTAATGTTAAAAACACTGATGACAGCGGTAAGGGTGAATACCAAATACTAAACTGCAAGCAACCCATAAAACCAAAACAATAAGCTGACAGATGCTAAAACGCTGCATGAAGCTGGAGGGGATGTTCACAGGGTTTTTCCCACTATGATTTACCGCTTTAACAATAAAGCTAGTAAAAAGAGCAGCTAAAATTATATAAATGTGTAACTACAGTATGCTGCTGAAAAAGGGGCAGCAACCCGCTTCCAGCTTCAAAGTGTTCCAAAAAACCCATCATACAAAATCAACAAATACGAAGAGATTTGGTCTGAAATGCATTAGATCAACGCCTTTAGGGCAGAACCATTTATTTCCCATAGAGATGAAAAGGGTTTCAGTTAGAAATGATTGGCGAGGAGTGTGTAGCAGATGCAGTGTTAAGGTGTCAGGTGCTCCCCACTGTGATCCAGATGGCTGCACCACAGCACAGGCAGTGGAGTTGCACAGCTCCACACCCTGGGGAGACAGATATCCTGCCAGCGCACGCACACATTGAATTCTGAATGTAATCTAGCCTACAAGATCCGGTAGGGGGTAGCTGGATCTGTAGCAGAGGGTGAGGGTGTGTTTGTTTGTTCATCAGCCAAAGAGTTGTTAGTCATTTTTGTCGCTTTTAGTCATTCAAAAATTCAAAAATACTGCTTCAAACTTATAGAATTGGCTTGGCTCAGGATATCTCACTGAGCCAAGGAAAGACAGACACAAACAAAGATTTTTTTAATGACAGATTTTATGAAATAGATTCATAATTATAATTGCACTTTGAGAGAGAATCAAAGAATCCCAGGCACTTTTGATTGAACTTTATTAGACTGTTGCATAATTGGATGTAATCAAAAGTGACATTTTAGACAACCACCAGAGTGGGAAATGTCCACAAGATGGTGCTCGGGAAGGGCTTATCAATATGCATGGTGACAAGCGAGGAAGTGGATGGGAGTGTGTGTGTGAAAGTGAAGGGTTAGGCTACCGGAATGCCAATAAGAAGCTGAAGGCCTATTTGCAGTATGTCATTCCCACCGCACAGCTGGGGTTTTCACTGACAGGACTAGCAGCAAAAGGTTACAGCACCTGCACTTCTCCCTGTGACAGAAATAAGAATAGCTGAGTTTGTCTGTGCAAAAAGGAGATAGAAAAGCGTGTGTGTGCAGATCTGCTTTCCATAGCCATTTGAGATCACAGCAGTTGTCACTGACATCTTTTTGTTTTTGAAGCCTTAGCGCTGATTACACTCGGAACTTTTTTGAATAAACATGAACGCAGTGTTGGCAAGGAAACACATGATCAGCTCCAATATGATAATTACATATACTTTCAAGGGGTTAATGTTTTTTCTGAAGGCTTGGTCTTGTCAAAAGAGAACACGGCGAGTTATTCAAGCAAAGCAACCCTTGACTTTGATTTAAAGCCCTGTGCAATTATGATATTCAAAAGGTCAAAATACCATTCAAATGAAATTATTTGTCATGTTGAAATGTGAAAAGTGATCATGACAAGGCTATTAAAAACTCTGAAAGGCCACTCTGAAAAATGCAATAAATCAGCTTGAAAATAATTATGTTAATGTGTATTTCAAATAATTTCCACTGAAACATTTTGTCATTGATTTGTCATTGGTAAAAAAACAGATCCCCTTTTTAAAATGAAGGCATTTTGCCAACAAGTGAGACAGCCAAGACTCAAATTATGATTAAAGTTTGCTCCTCGGAAGAGAGTCCAGTTGAGTAATGTCCAAAAATTCTCCTCACGCTCTCACCCTCGCAGACTTACCTCATGTGAATCGGTATATTTTGCTTCAAAATATCTGTGTTGAAGGCAAGGATTTTTGGCTGCTACTGTGCCCTCAGTGTGATCTCATGTTTGATCGAGAGTCTGTCCCTTTCGAAGGTCAGAATACAACCCCCACAGGAACACCAACAACATCGCTGACTAATGGGACGACACTATCATGGCACTAGCATTGTAATATGTGAAATATCTGAGATTCTCACTTGTCTGTGAAACAAGTAAGGATGGGAGTGCTTCAAGGATCCTATCCTGATCCCTTTAACATTTGAAATTGACTTGGTAGTGGAATGGCTTTGATTGAGCCTGTGATCATTTCATTAAAGATTCCACATGTGTTGTTCATAACAAAGCGAGAAGGATGAAATGTGTTGATTAAGAGGGCTCTGTACTGTGTTATAGTATTTGAGTGCCAGCTAAATTAAAATACTCAACATTCTCTTCATGCCAGCAGGGAAAGTTGATTTAGCTCTCTCCTTGAAAATACAAACACAAGAAGTTTGCTGCGGAAATAAATAGTCTTTGCATGAAGGTCGGGGAAAAAAACAGATTTGTAGTGCCTGCTAGATCTTTGCAGTGGGATATAAACCATCACTGTATTTCATTTGTTGATACTTTTTTATTTTTTATTATATATTGTATTAGTTTATTCAACACTAGAACCGCCAGAGGTCGCTGTATACCTAAAACCGCCAACGGGTCAAATTTACCCGCTATTGATTTTCAAGGTACAATTTTATTTTCTTTATCATGTAGAACAGTGAGTTTTGATCGCACAGGGATGAAACTTATACCAATAGAATCTATGGACTCTCAGCTTTTCATATGATATAGTTTGTGCAGATAGCATGAAGTACAAAATATCGCTACCAGTGCTGATTTAAACGCTTGGTGTTAGACTTGTGTTTTGTTTAGGTACAAATCTCTCTATCTATCTATCGATCTATCTATAACTATCTATCTGTCTATCTATCTATCTATCTCTCAATCTATCTCTCTATCTATAAGGAACCGCAGTAGACAAAAGGCGTTGCTATAGCAACACGTCATGTTTACGCTGCATTTTCTATGAGGTAAATATTACCCGCTGGCGGAAATAGGTATAAATCTGACTTCATATTGACCATTTTTCACAACAGAGGGTGCTACATAACACCCTTTCAGGAAAAGTCACGGACTGGGAGACTTTAATATTTTATTGAAAAAAAGTTACATACAATAAAAAAACAGCTGCGGGTAAAATTGACCTGTTGGCGGTTCTAGTGTTAAAGGGGCCCAATTATGCTATTGGGGTTTTCCCTTTCCTGTGTGTTATATAGATCGTTGTACATGCAAATGGTCTGGAAAAGCTATCATCCTAAAGTTTCCTTCCGTCATCACACTCCCCCCTGCCTCAAAACTCATCAACTGGAGTCCTAGCTTACTTCTGTGACATAATGACCTCATGATGTAACACTCAGGCTTTTATTGGCTAAAGCTCCAACAGATTGTATGTGATAGGCTAAGGGGCGGGACATTTCTAAACAGCCGACCAATACTATTAGAGCCAGCC